GGTTCATTTTATGAATCTAAAATCTAATTACCTGAAAAAATAATAAAACATAAAAAATAAAAACTAAGATAGGAATGACTGTAAGAATTCTAAATGAAATATTTAAGAACTTGAAATTCAACCAAGTCATACACTGTAAACTAAGGATTTTCCCATAAGCTTAATTATTCTATTAATTAAAACATTAGTCTCTGTGAAGTTATGGATGAGTTTTATTCCTTCTTTGTACTTTTTCCTATTTCCCAAACTTTTACACTGCTTTCATAATCAAAAGAAACATACATATGTTTGCCCTCACTTTTTTTTTTTTTTAATTGTGACTTGGGTGAACATTTACAGAGCAAATTCACTTTCCATAGAACAGTTCACATACACTTTGTCTCATGACATTGACTATAGTTTACCCCAATGCAACAGCTCCCATACCACTTCCTCCTGATAGTTACCTCTTCCCTGTGTCCATCCTTCTATGTACTCCTGCCCCCTGAGCTGTCTCCCTGTGCATAAACAGCCCTTCTTTCTCCCATGAGTGATCTCCAAGGAGCGTATCTACCTCAGGTAAATGTTCAATTTACATGCCTGTCTCTTGTTGGGCTGGAAGCCACAGGTATGGGTTCAGTTCCAGACCTGAAGGGCAACTAGGGGCCATAGTCTGAGGGGTTCCACTAGGCTCTATCAGACCAGCAAAGCTGGTCCACTTTATTTTCACCCCCTCCAAATGATTTTGAGTTCTGTTTCACATTGTTCTCCCTCTCTATCCAGGATCTCCTACACAGATCCCCCTCTGAGTGGTTGACAGTGGTAGCCGGGCACCATTTAGTTCTTCTGGTCTCATAGTCATATAACTGTGGATTGCATGGTGTACCAGTCACTAGGACTAATTGTTTCTTTGAATCTTTGGTTGTTTTCATTCTTCTTTGCTCTGGACAAGGAGAGACCCATTGTTGCACCTTGACGGCTGCTTGCAGGCTTTTAAGATCCCGGTCACTCACCAAAGTAGGAGGTGAAACAATATTTTGTGTAGTATGTTATGTCAATTGAGCTTGATGTCCCCTGCGACTGTGGTCCCAAGCCCACCAGTTCAACTACTCGGTCCCTCTGGGTAGCTGGCTGTGACAAAGAAGTGACTACAACCTTGTCCCTTGTCTGCTCTACTATACACCTGGGAATTCAGATCATATAAATATACACTTATAGAACCATTGTCTGCCAATCCTATACATGATCTTGGGTACACTCCCTGCTTCATAGACCTACCTAATCGTTCAGCCTGTCCACCCATCTATCCACCCATATACCCATGTTTGCCTTCACTGAAACGCAGTATTGTACGTGCAAAAGGGTTCGTCTTTGTTGTCTGTACCTCCCATGTACCTCTCTATGTCTTCCTCTTCCTCTGTGCCACCATGTTGATCACTCACATTTGGTACATTGCCCTTCTCTTCACTCAAATCAATACCTCTACCTATCTAACCGTATTCTCTCATCTCCTGTCCCACTTCTGGTAACCAACAAAGAAAATTTCCTTCCATAGATAAACCTTTCCTTGACTTTTACAATAACAGACTAATACAATACTTGCCCTTCTGTGACTGACTTATTTCACTCAGCAGAATGTCCTCCAAGTTCATCCATGTTATGTGGTGGTTTGCAGATTC